TGGCATCTTTCAAACCATTGAAACCACTGTAGGGACGAGTCCTCCAAATGAAGAGACGCCAATTTCACTTTATCAAGATTGTCAACAGCATTATGCTCAAAAAAGCTTTCACATTTATAAAGCCAACCATTTGGATTATCACCATAGAAGCGAGGAAATTCAATCTTCACAAATCGTTGATAAGATTGGTGATCTGACCTTAATGGAAAATCCCCTCGAGCTTGAAAATCCCCACGAGCTTGAACCCCTACTGGAGACACCCCTGATTGTCCTTGGCGAAGCATTCTAGAATTGTCACTCCGATCTACATGTTGTTTCCCATAGATGTGCCCTACCATTTGATCATACTTCATACTCATGGCAGCAACCAATTCCTTGATATCTCCCAAATCTTTGAGAGAACTCCTGATTTCCCCGATTTCCTTCGCATTTCTCTCATTACCCTCCTTTAATGTTCACAGTGTCTCCTCAATTTTTTTAGCTTCCTGGGCTACTCTAGTTCCGTTAACCATGTTGGTTACAGAGAATGAATAGGCCAAGAACTTGGGTGCTCTGACACCAATGTAATAGCTAGGGAAGAAGAAACAGAAATATAGAGAAAAAAGTAGCAAATCTTTATATTATTCTCAGAAAATTACATACCCTCCATATGGGAGTTCCGCAATTATTTACAACTACTTCCTTGCATACCTCACACCTCTAACTAACTAACTAACTAACTTCTTCTCAACTGCCTTCCTCTAACTAACTAACTACTTCTCAACTGACTCACAATTCTTGATATAACATTTTGAATTGAAAGAACATCTTTGATGACTTTATTTTGTCGTTGAGCAGGTATTCCAACCATGGTTATTGATTCAAAAATTGTTGGTGATGTGAAGGACCCGCGTGGTAGTGCACATGATATCTCCAAATCAGAAGGGACTTTGTTATCCAAATTAATGTCAGGTCTTATTTTATTTTTTTGCAGTAAATTTTAGAGAGAAAAAAAATAATGCAGATGTAATTTTTGTCTGCATATAATTCCCCTCACCCCAAAAAGAAAAATGAAAAAAACTAGTTCTTTTGAGTGTATGTATGGTGGATTTGACCCGTGCAAGTCAAGTATTCAATAATTGTATTGAGTACAAATATCTTTACTTTAAAAAAAAAAGGTAAAAAGTCAACTTTCCCTTTCATCTTATTGATTATTCTACACTGGTATTTTGTTACAGGGTACAAAAGGATCATCAGAGGTTTGTTCCTCTAACTCTTCAACTATGAGTTGTTTGCAGTTTTTGGAATACAGTTAAATCAGAAATTTTTGGGTGCTTCATAAGTCACTTGTACACACAAGAATTCACGATTCATGTTATTCTCTTTAAAATTAAGGTTGTGGTTTTATTATTATAGGAAAGAGTTACAAACAAAATATAAAGATGGTATAGTATTAGACTTGCGGCCACAAGTGCAAAAATATCAAAATATCTTTACTCCAAAATTCAGATAGTTAGTCTTCAGTACTCAAGATTTACGTTACACAACAAAATGAACCATTGCCAGCTTTGCTTTCTGTTATTTCTTCTTTGTCATCAGTCCCAACTGGAAATTGAAGAAAATTCATGAGAAATTGTTAGTATGCCTAGCTTATCACTATACTAAATATGAAGTAATTAATTTTTTTTAATGCTTCTGACTCTTGTTTGTTGTCTTCTTTCTTTTCATGAAGTTTGTCCTTGGATTAAACGAATTGATGATGCAAAGCAAAAGCATGTGTTCGCAAGAGAGCTGGCAAAAAGACTGATCGAAAAAGAAAATGGTTGGAGTGATTACCTATATTGCGAAAATTTTCATGTTTCTGGATTGGGCTGCTTTGGAGAAACTCCGTCACAAAATAAGAAGAATAGAATGAAAGACCCACTTATCCTAGCGACAAAACACGGCATCCATGAGATGGTAGAGGAAATCCTTGAAAAATTCCCTAATGTTGCAACTACATTTGATGAGAATGGAAGAAATATACTGCACATGGCAGCACAGTTGAAAGATAGAATTCTCTATGACTACTTGAAGAAGACTGTTAATCACGCAGACAGTATGATGGCCGATGTTGATAAACATGGGAACACCATCTTGCATCTTACAGCCTATGAGTGCAAGCAGGGTCATTTTCTTGCAACTCATTTTGGACCTATGAACCGAATGTCGTGGGATGTGTTTTGGTTCAAGGTACATATCAAATCACATGTGTACTTGAGAGTAGTTGGTAAAAAAATTGGTAAATCAATTCCCTTATAATATTGTCTTCTCACTCAATATTTTTGAATTTCTACAGCGTGTACAGAATGACTCTCATCCACATTTGATATATCATCGAAACATTGAGGGTAAGACACCAAAAGAACTATTTGAGGAAGAGCACAAGGACATGATAAATAAAGCTGAGAAAGTAGTCAAAGATATTAATAGCTGCTTGATGCTTGTTTCTACTCTAATAGGCACGGTCAATTATGCAGCACTTTTTACTATCCCTGGTGGTTTCGATCAAGACAAGGGCCTGCCAATTTTTTTCACAAAAGCAAAAAATGGACGAGAGGATCTGCAGTTGTTCATGGTTTATGTAGGAGGAAGTCTGGTTGCTTCTTTATTGGGTTTGGGAACTCAGCTTTCAATACAAGTGTCCCGATTCAATAGTAATGATTTTTACATTTCATTGCCGTTGAAATTTCTTTGTACAATCACGTCCTTGTTCTATGCTGCAGCCTTCTCAATCACAGCATGCTTCCAAATCTTCATCATCGAGGGTGCCTTCATAAATTCATATTTTGCAGTGATGGTGCTCGCTTGTATATTTATGACCCTTGTTTACACGGACGCATTATACTTGACCTATGATTACTTGTACTATGTAATTCGTTATTCGCTTGCTTATAGAGGCCAGAAAATGTAAGTCTGCAGCTGGGTTGGTACTTGTTTTAAGATCATGTTTGTATTTGGGTGCAATTTAAGTGTGACTATACGTGTGAGACAGATATATGTATTGGAAAAGGACTGTTGAAGGAGAGTTTCTCAAGTATTGCTAAGACATGCTATGAATACAGTTAATTTTGTATTCAAATAATGCACTGCTATAGATCTTGTTGGCATGCTTTAGATATGGAATGTGTATGGTTCACGAGCTCTAGTTTGTTATAAATGGTAATGGTTTTTCTTTATTTTTATTTATATTAATTTTTTAATTGTCGAACCACCTTTGGCGGGTGGGTTTCATCAGCCACGGACGAACCATGAAACTGTAAATTTGGTGGGTCGTTTGAATTTCTTTGGCAATTTTGAATCAGCAGATTGAGCGGATTTAGGTGGGTTACAACATCTCTAACAGTTGTCTCTGTACCTAGTTTGGTATTTCTTTTTTGAGTCGGTGGTTGTTGTATTGAATTTTGTGTGTTGTGCAACTAATAAGTGTGACTATATTCCATTATACTAATTCAATGTTATATATGTTTCTTGGCACGAACACCTTCTAACTGAGATTAACAAAATTTCAGCACTTTTGTTTATGTAAACTCAATTAAATAAGGCTTTAGAAACAACATTTATCAACAGTAAAACATTCCTACTCTGTTGTTTGATTGTGTTTTTATTTTCAGTTTTCTATTTTTCAACAATACAGAAGAGGAACAAAAAAAAGGGAGGGTTTGCCTTCTTCACAACCCCAAAACATTCATATTTAGCATCCTATTATGAATTCAAGAAAGCAGAGTCAAACTGTCCTCGAAGAAAAAGCGTGGTTCCAATGGATCATCTGCCAATCCTTGGAGAAACCGTGGAATCAGAGGCATACTAACCTCTAAAACTCCCTCTAGAATTTGGACTACCTATCCCATACTTGGCCTATCATTCTCATTATCTTGAATGCACCAACAAGCAACTTTGCAAGCTCTAATCACCTCTTCAGCATCACCATTGACTTGCAACCTGTAATCTAACAAGCTCATGTCTAATTCCTTACTTTCGTTCATTTTCGTTGCCACTAAAAATGGAAAGTACTAATCCATTTCCTCATCTGCTATGTCACTGTTTCTCCTTCCTGATATAATCTCAAATAACAGCATTCCATACCTAAAAACATTGGCTTTTGGCGTGATTGCTTCACCTGATATCCATTCTGGTACAAGATAGCCTCGTGTTCCTCTCATTGTTGTCAAAACCCGACTAATCTCTCTCTCGACAAGCTTAGCAAGCCCGAAATCAACCACTTTTAGGTTGTCTTCAGCATCCAGTAAAATGTTTTCGAGCTTAATATCACAATGTATGATGCAATCTCTACATTTCTCATGGAGGTAAGTCAATCCTCTAGTAGTCCCAACTGAGATATTGTACCTTGTTTTCCAGTCTAAGACATTAATGTTGTCTTTTTTAAACAAGTGAGACTCTAGAGAACCATTTGACATGCAATCATAAACTAGAAATCTTTTTGTACCTTGTATGCAGAAACCCCGAAGGCGAACAAGGTTGATGTGTTGGATCATCCCAATGGTTTCGTATGTCACGATACTTGAACACCGCCAAAGAATCATCAACTTTCTCCAAAATACCAGCAATGTCTCTCTGTCTCTTCCTCTAGAGGACTACCAAGTGTTGGAACAATCTTCTGTGTAAAAAATAAATTGAAACTAAATCAAACAAAATAAAAATAAATAACTTACAAAATTTATTTTACCGAATCGAATGAATAATAAAAAATCAAGTCAAGTGTGTGATACTCTGTCCTTAAGATTAATTCGCCTCGCTACGGTACTTACAGTCAAGTGGCGTCTATCTCCCAAGATACAATGATCTTCACAAATTTGTAGTAGCACTCCAAACAAATTTGTCCGGCGAACTAAAACCTTGTGTTCTATACTCTCTTTAATTTTCCTAAAGACTAATATGAAGAATTTATGCAAACAAATAAAATCTGGACAGCAAGAAAAAATATTTTTCAGACTGATATTGGATCCCCCAAACTGCTGGAATTAAACTGGTATTTATAGGCAAATATTCTGTCCGAACAGGTGCTAATTTAAAGTGAACAGATGCACATTTAAATTAGGCAGGTACAAGCACTATTCAAACAGATAACTGTTGGAATAGTTAATCTGTCCGAACTGTATGAACTGCAACAGTTTAGAGTAGTTAATCAAAACTTTGAATTTAATTTCATTAAGAATTTCTGGAAAAAATTCAAACAAATTTTATCCAAAAATTTAATATAAGAACCGACCCGACCCACAACCTACGCCTATGCCCACGCCCGACCCGGTTCGGCCGGTCGGACGGACGGCGGCGGCGCGCGTGTGTAGTGGTTTGGGCTAAGGTTCATTTTGTTCATAACTCTTCCCTTCTACAAACTTGGGGTGCCCCTTGAGGCCCAACCCAAGTATTATACTCTAGAGCTTATATACATACACAAGCTCTCTTAAAGATTCAATGTGGGACAACCCATTTCAAGGAACCCACATTTAATTATTTAAATGTCCAATTCCACGAACCCGAAAACAACGTCAACTGCCCATTCACTCATAAATGGTTTTGATGAACCGTCTTCACTGTATGACTTACCACGCGGCAAGGAACACGTCACCTCTTCGGATCCACCCCAAAAGACGTTTGGGGCCCACTTAATGTTGGGCTCAATGATGGCCCAAAATAAGCCTTATAAAATCAATTTTTCCAACAATCCCCCACATGAATGGAATTTGACGGAGAGAAAATGTAACAACATGATCTAATTACAGAGAGTACAAAAATTGGAAATATTCTGCAAATGATAGGTAGATTTTGGCTTTGAACCTTCTCTTGTGAGACACTATCGGATTTACTAGCTAACTAGTGAACATGATGTCTTGAACTGTTCAACCGTTTGTGTATAAATGATTCTCATGAAGAGTATCCTGCCATACTCCATTACGTTTACCTAGATATAAGAATCATTAAAAGTATCACTAAACCTAAAACACTGCAGACATCACTATTTCATCCTAGAAATGGGTAGGAGTTGGACTCCCCAGTGATCCTTCTGAGCCATTCACAACTCGGTTGTCCCTTTGAACCTAGATCTTGGGATCTCCAATCAACTAGGTTGGGTTGCCGTTGTGGTAACTCTTATTTAATAGGCTTAAGTCCCATTCCCCTCGATGAATTCTTAACTAACTCTCTTGCTAAACCTTTGGTTAGTGGATCCGATATGTTGTCTTTAGACTTCACATATTCAATGAAAATAATTCCATTAGAGAGTAGTTATCTCGCGATGTTATGTCTACGATGAATGTGTCACGACTTACCGTTATACATATGACTCTGTGCTCTACCTATTGCTAATTGACTATCACAATGTATACAAATAGCAGGCACTGGTTTTGGCCACATTGGAATATCCTCAAGGAAGTGGCGAAGCCATTCTGCCTCTTCTCCTGCTTTGTCTAAAGCTATGAATTCTGATTCCATAGTGGACCTAACAATGCAAGTCTGTTTGAAAGAGTTCCAAGATACAGCCACCCCACCAAGAATAAAGACATACCCACTGGTAGACTTTGAGTCTCTAGTATCCGATATCCAGTTTGCATCACAGTAGCCTTCAAGTACTGCTGGATATCTTGTATAATTCAGCCCAATGTTACGAGTAAATAGGAGATATCTTAGAACCCTTATAATTACTTTCCAGTGTTCTATTCCTGGATTACTCGTATATCTACTTAATTTACTTATTGCATAAGCTATATCTAGGCGAGTGCAGTTCATCAAGTACATTAAGTTTCCAACAATTTGGACATACTCTAATTGAGAAATATTTTCTTGTACATTATTAGAAAGAAACAAATTAACATCCACAGGTGTTCTAGCAAGATGATCATCATCTTTGCTGAATTTGTCAAGTATTTTTTCAATGTAATGAGATTGTGACAAAGCATGTCCTTCTGATGTTTTGGTAATTTTCATACCAAGAATTACATCAGCAATGCCCCTGTCCTTCATGTCAAAATGTTTATTCAACATTTTCTTGGTAGTTTTAATCGTGTCAATATTACTACTTATGATGAGCATATCATCCAAATAAAGACATACAATGACATAACCTTTGTCCCTGTTTTTAATATAAACACATTTGTCACACTCATTAATTTTAAATCGATTTGACATCATTGCCTTGTCAAATTTCTCATGTCATTGTTTTGGCGTTTGTTTTAAACCATATAATGATTTAACCAATTTACACATTTTCTTTTATTTTCTTGGAACAGAAAAACCTTCTGGTTGTTCTATGTAAATTTCTTCATCTAATTTCCCATTTAAGAAAGCGATTTTCACATCCATTTAATGAATTTCTAGATTGTATAAAGATACAATAGCAATTAGCATTCTAATGGATGTTATGCTAGTAACTGGTGAGTATGTGTCAAAGTAATCAAGACCATCTTTTTGCCTAAATCCTTTGACCACAAGTCTTGCCTTGTATTTGTCAATTGATCCATCCGCTTTCATTTTTTTTTGAAAATCCACTTGTACCCAAGAGGTTTACAACCTAGTGGAAAGTCCACTAATTCCCAAATGTGATTTTGCAAGATGGATTCAACTTCACTGTTGACAACTTCTTTCTATAAAGGAGCCTCAGGACTGGACATAACCTCTTGAAAAGTTAAAGGCTCATTTTCTAACAAAAATGTTAGAAAATCTGGACCAAAAGATTTTGAGGTTCTAGCACGTTTACCACACCTAGGTTTCTTTTCATCAATTTGATCTTGCTTTTGTTCTTGATCTTGTTCTTGATCATTACTAGTAATAGAATCAAAAGATCTTTTCTTATTACTAGTCTCTTGTCCAATCTTATTTGGAAACACATGTTCAAAGAAAGATGCATTCCGAGATTCAATAATAGTATTTACATACATTTCAGAATGTTTTTGTTAGACTTATTTATTTTGATGATTTATTTAATTATGTTTTAATTTATTTGGAAGAGAAAAATATAATCAAAATTTATTTTGATGATTTATTTGAAAAAGAAAAATAGAATCAACATTTATTTTGATGATTTATTTAATTATGTTTTAATTTATTTAAAAGAGAAAAATAGAATCAAAATTTATTTTGCCCCATTATTTCTCACCTAAACCTTTATCCTAAATGTTGTTAGAATGTATTTAATATTTGATTAAATCAGGAGTTCAAACAACCCAAAATAGAGGTTCAAATAGCCCAGCACAGCAGCAGTTCAAGAGGTTCATGTGGAAGATATTTAAATTAGTAATGATGGAGTGAAAGATATTCAAATGAATACAACGGCTATAAACGGCTATAAATTCAAATGAATACAACGGTTATAAACGGTTATAAGTTTCATTATATATACCAAAGCCTCTAATGTAAACAAGTTACAAAAAATCAGAAAATATTTTTTGATCTATAATCACTCACATCTATTATTTGAAAAATTCTCTGAGAAGTGTTTTTCAATTTTTGTTTACATCATCTTTTAGAAATTATACACTGAGACGTATAGCTTCGAGCCCATCTTTCCTGTGTGAGGTTTGCAAAAAAACCAGAGTTTTATTTTTATATCTATCTTTGAGAGATAATTCTTGTAACTTTCTATGAAAGCAAAAACACATTCTTTTCAACCTTGTAAGAGTTTAGTACACTCAGTGTTCTTGACTTAGAAAGTCTGTGTAAAATCCGTAGAGGATTGCTCCATTTGTAAAGAGGTTGCTAGCACCCCTGTGAAGTTAGAGCATAGTGGAAAATCTCAAGTGAAGCTTGAGGAGTGAGTGGACGTAGGCCGAGTTGAAGCCGAACCACTATAAATTTGTTTGCCTTCCTTTCCCTTATCTCTTTATTTTATTTAAATTGCCATAGCTATATTTCACATTTTCACTGTGCTAAAATTATTAACTGACATAGTTGTCAGAACATTTGTTTTAATTATTTTTATTTCGTTAACTATATTTATCTATTGTGCTAGTCATAATTTTTATTAGGGTATTATTTTTTTTATTTGTAAAAACCTAATTCACCCCCCTCTTAAGTTGTCTTTTGGGTAACAATTGGCATCAAAGCTTAGACTATTGTTTTAGATTTAACCATCTGAGAGCTTCGATTCATGGCAACCTTAGCTGAAGGACAAGCCACAAATAGGCCACTATTGTTTGACGAAAACAATTATAGTCATTGGAAAGATAAGATGTCCCTATACCTTCGAGCCACTGATTATGCCATGTGGATTATTGTCACAAAGGGTCTAAAAATTTCTACTAAATTAGTAGACAATATTAGTGTACCAAAAACAGAAGATGAATATGATGAGAGGGATCCGAAATTATTGCAAGCCAATGCTAAAGCCAAACTCACTCTTGTTTGTGGATTAGACTCTAAGGAGTATAATAGAATTTCAAGTTGTGATTCAGCAAAAGAAATTTGGGACAAACTGGAGGTAACGTATGAAGGTATAAACCAAGTGAAGGAATCTCGTATTTATATGTTTATTCATAGTTAT